GTGTGCGCGCGCACACACACATATATAATCACAGCAAGGCTACTGAATAAATGCTGTCATTCCTAGCCATCTCAGCAGAGGGGGCATGGAAATTTAACTATTTTCATGGACCTAGGTATGACATTTTGGAACAGGATCCAGACACATGATCAGGATATTTATTAGCTGCTGCCTGTGTTGTTCATGGCCTAAATAATTAAAAAGGTCCGTATTTTCCATTTGTCGTTCTGTTATCTTTCTTTAGTATCAGAGTCACACGAAAATTATATTGAGAAAGGAAAGTGAAAAAGAGAAGTGTTGTCCATCTGTTAGTGCTTCCACATGGCTGATTTTCTGAATTTTTCCCTGGCTCCTATGTGCTACTATCTGAATTGAACTGCAGTTAAAGCTGTGTCGGTTCAACTAAAAGTAAAAGTTGAGTGCTACTTTTCCCTCCAGTTCATCAGTGGGCCTTTGGGGCTCCAACAGAGTACAGTTGCTTGGCCTTCAGTACCAGACTACGAAAGAAGTAGCGGGGATATATTTGCTGCTTCCTCTCATGGAGGCACACAAGCACCAGTCCTGTGCACTGGTGTGTATTTCACAGGGTTCCAGCTGAGCTGAGCAGGAATTTGCAATGGCGCATGAAAGGAGGCTTCAGCATATCTACACATGTTATGATGTTTGTGTCAAGGAATTTAATCCACAAGGCTGTTGTAAACTAGAGGCCCCATTCAGGGGCCTGCTGCACTGTTGTGCGTGTGCCGTAGAGACAGACAAGATGGCTTTGGGAGCAGGTGTGGAGAGAAATGAGATCTCTGTCAGAGGCACCCAGGCTCAGGTGGGGATGACCTCACTCCCACTTTTGGCTGGCTAGAGATTTACTTACACATTGCTATTATTCTGTTACAAGCTAATCTAGTTGAACAATTTTAATAAAACTTGTCATATTTCTAGACCATCTTTCTCTTTCCTTCCAACTGTTGCTTGCTCTTTTGTCCTTTCTCTGGTCTACACTTCCCATTGTCCTCCTTGGCCTCTGCCAGTTAGAAAGGTGAACTCTGCAGGTGTCTTCTGGCACCAGTTGATTGAGTCCTTTGCAAAGCATGAATGTCACTGACATTGTTCCTCCTTCAGTCTGCACACCCCCAATGGTTTTGTTGCTAATTTTCTTAGGAAAGGAATTAAATAAAGTAGCGGCAGGAGCAGCCACAGCATTCACTGATACAGCTAGGACCTGTGTAATTACTGGCACTCTTGGGAAGAGAACAGTCACAGTTGTAGTCTCAGTGCTGCATGACTGAGATCATCTCACAGCACAGTGCGCTCCATTTGTCCAGGAGCTGTTGCTATGCACTGATAACAAACACTGAGAGTAAGATCAGGAAATGTCAGAGCAGAAGAATAGAGGCTACAACAATACAGGTTTTATTCACACGACAGCAGAGAGCTCCATTTTTCTGTTCCTGGTGCCACACAAATGTAGAAGTCATACCCAAAAAAGAACCAGGCTATCTGTGTCTGTGAGACTTCTTGGATGTTTTTTAATTCAAATGGTTATAGCCATTAGCAGTTTGAAGATTTTAATCTACAGGATATCTTTGATCTTCAGAAACACCTTTTGGCTTTCTGAATCTTGAAATTGCAGGACAGAATGAAGGGATTTTTCTGGTTTGATGCTTTCAAGACCTGTACCTAAGCACTGATTTTTCTTTTGTAATAGAAACACAAGGAACTTGCTCCCTGCATTTGAGTAACGAGAGCTGAGTAGTTCATAGCTCCTATGCTGTTTTATGTGGCATGGGAGCTCATGTTGCACTGATTAGTGCTAATGGAAGTGGGGCTTGCAAGTCTATACCCCTGTTGTTAAAAGACTGCCTGAGAGTGCAGATCTTGCCCTTTTTGTATGTTCCACTTATTTTTGCCTCCATTTATCAGTAAACAAACCAAGTCCCTGAAGACTCATTTGAGTCAGCATGGCCTTAAGACAAATTGTGTCAGTTAGCCTTTAATGGTAGCAGAGAACAGTAAAAGTCCTTTCAACTTGCCTGGTCTAGAGTTTGTCCTGGGGACATCCTGTCTAGTCTGGGTTTCTGAGATTTTAACCACAATCAGTAGATTGTAAAGTTTCCCCATTGGCACAATGGCAAGGCTTTCCTGCCAGCCAAACCCACTTGAACCCTAAAAAACCACTACACCCTTTACCGGAGTCCCTCAAGTATAGGTGTCTTTCTTCAGTCCTTTCTGAAGTTTCTCCTTGATTTTCATTATTCATTGAGTGCCGACTACCAACTTTGTAAATACATCTGTGCCCCTGAGGCCTTAAAGTCTAATTTGGGCAAGAAAAGATGAATAAAGAATCTCTCGAAATATCAGCTACCTGATGAACTCTTTTGAGTTGCAGTTCAGACTTTCAGATATTGTCTTCAATTTTGATCCTGCTGTCTGGTTTACAGTCCATGGCTAGGATTCATTCTCTCCTTGCCAGATATTTCAGGGAAGAGGTGCAGATACGTTGCATATGATGCTTTCCCAGCTTCCCTTACTGCTCAGTCAGCTGTCTATGTGAGGAAATAGCCAGCTGCAGTCAGTCTCCTTGTAAATGATTGTATTGGATTTAAAGACTTTTCAGCATTTCCGGAGTGCAGATTCCTGGGCCAAGTGGAGTCAGTAACCAAGCACCAGAGAGCACCTGCTTCTGTTTAGACACTTCTCCATCACATACAGTCTTCCTTAGAGGCTCCTTGCTGTCTTTAACAGTGAGAAATGTCCAGCAAATTCTCAGACCTCCGCCTACTTCCTCATACTCTCCAGTAAGAAAGAGACTGGGACTTCATGCTGCAGAGCACAGCCATTGACCATAGTTTTATATTGAACAAGTGAGATGAGTTGATTGACATGAAGGTGATACAATATTGTGTTTCTGCATAATAAATATGTAAAAAAACCCTCTCCACCATTGTTCTCCTGCATCACCAGGATGGAGAAATGCACTGGAAAAAACTTCGGAGCTTGTACTTTGAAGGTATCTGGGAGGGAGACAGTCATTTCTAAGGAGGGAGTGCAGCTGATCAGCAATGTGGTCCATTGCATTTCTAGTGCTTAAATAGTGGTTGGAAATGCTAGTGGCTGAACAGTATTGCCTGAGAGATGAAGATGCTCTGCCTGCCAGCTTCAAAGCCATTGCCTTGATGTGGCCACTGACAATCTCAGTAACATGCTTATTAGTGAGAATTAAGAACTGAAGCTACTGCTTCTTTAGACAGGAGGAGGAGGCTTCTGAAACATAATAAATAAATCAGAAGCACTTCAACATCTTCAAAGGGTTTTGTTTTAAATACTGGCTTTTCTCCTGGGGACCCTCTTAGCCCCAGTCTTTCTTCTTTGAGATAATTAATTCAAGCTGCTCTACATATTTGATTTTGCCACAGTGAACAGAACTGGTCTCAGTGGCAGGGAAGTCTTGCAAGATCCTATAACTCTTCTAGGTCAGCCTCCCACACAGCTCCCATGAGACAGAACAGTGTTTCCCCAGCAATGTGTTTAGACCATTGATGCTGCAGGAGTTGGTTGGTGGATTGCATTTGTCCCTGTGTTCAAATGGGTCCTACTAGATGACCCGTACTTTGGCTATAATGAACTGGTAGTCCTTCTCATATGACATGATATGCCAAATATTGACTGAACAGGGTTGGTAGACATGCACAGAGTTGAAAAGAAGTACCAATTACTTTTCTTTAGCATTGTCCGAATACTCTGTTTTTTTCCCATTGAAGTGGGGTGTTTCCTTCTGTTTTCCAGTCTCAGCTGTCATTATTCAGCCCAAGTTTGATTTTTCCTACTTTATCTTTTCATCCTTCTGTAGAGACCACAGCATTGGTTTTGTTTTCATTTTTATGAAAGTTTTTGCCCTAACTTGCTTCTGAAATCCAGGGGGTTTTTCCTGAAAGGAGGAGTTGGACTTTGCTATCACTTATACTTCATCTTTATGGCCTGTGGCTGATACTTTCCATGTCCATGAAGTATGCGTCAAAGCAGGGATGCATGCAGCTCCCTAGGTACACCTGGGGCTTAGCAGGGAGAAAGAAGACATTGTCCCTGGCCCAAGAAGTCTTCAGTTGCTGTGAAATTTGACCTGATAGTCAAATGATAACCCTGATTGATAGATATGAAAAGAGAATGATTCATTCATTGGGAAGGGAGGATAGGATGTTCACAGTGTGTAATTAGAAAGCTGATTTTTGGTGCAATGTTATGTCCTCTGTAGTCAAATGGAGTTTGAGTACAGATTGGGAATTAATAACTGTTGTTATTCTTATGAATCTGAAAATATCCCAGTTTGATGAACTCTGGTCTACAAAGGAATAGCATAAGTTTTGTTCTGCTTACACTAGTTTAATAGTTGTGTACCTGTCTTTTCTGTAGCGCCGTTACTCTTTGTATAGCCATGCAAACCAGCCTTCCAGTTTTTATGCCAGTGTTTGTTCCATCATGTCCACCAGGCTTTCAATGCTTGACATCCATGTCACATTGCTCTGTTCAAACTGTAGCTGAAGTGTGTGATAGCATTAACACTCAGGATCTTCTCGCTGCAGGTTCTTCAGCTGCCTTCATTTGATATTAGGGTGTTTCTATTCCTCTCTTCTAACCTCTTATACTGGGTCAAGCCACTAGCAATCCTCAGTTGCACATAGCTCCCTAGCTGCACTTTGTTTAGATCTGGGATTCCTGGTTACAGACTTCAGTTATTTTGTAGATACTAAACTGTTTCTCTCATCTTGTCCTAGGATTGTGCTGATGGATGATGCTATGGATTGCCTGATGTCTTTTTCTGATTTCCTCTTTGCTTTCCAGATCCAGTTCTACTACTCAGGTAAATGCTGGGAAGCTGCTGACTTCACCCACTAGTATAGCATTACAACCTTACAGCTTCCCAATCCCTGCACTTTTGTGGAAGATATGGTAAGGATATGGTTTTTCACAGAAAATATGTAGATAATGGAATCTGCTGATGAAAGGCATCACTGATGCCAAGAGATTAGGAGGCTTCATAAGGAGGTTCAAAATCTTTGTAAATAACAAGATACCTGTAACTGTTATGGCTTATGCATATATTTGTCTTAGCCTTGAGACATAAATTTCCAGCTTTATCTAGAGTATGTTAGCAGCTAACAATTAATTTTTACTAGGAACATTTTTTTTCCTTTCCTTAATACAGCATTTCCACGTCCAAAGTATTGGTCCCTGCTGGAGACAGGATAAGAAAAGCCTACCAGCTGCTGCCTTGAAAGGAAAAGGAACTGGACAAATGGATACAATTCTTCCCCCTAACACTTGCCCAACTATAAGCTGGTTTCAGCTCAAAGAGTTTCTGAACTGGGTATAGTTTTCATGGGTTTAGGAACACCCAGTGGACTCTTCTCCCAAGAACTTCTCCAGCTTCCCCTTGAAATCACATAGACTTGTAACCTCTGCAACACCTTTTGGCAAGGAGTTGCACAGGTCTGCTACTCCTCCCATGAAAAACCACCTCTCTTGTTTGATTTGAGAGCCCCTAGTTGGAAGGGAAAGTGAGCAGTTAATCTCCTTCTACCTTCTTCATGTTGTTGGTCATTTATCATATTCTACCCCTCTCCCCCCGTATGAATTTTAACTAGATGGGGTATTTCTTTTAAAATTCCTGAGAAGAAAAAGTACAAATCAAATAATATTAGTTCGTGTGTTTGTATATTTATATATGCTCACCCACACATATACATCTGTTAAAATCCCCAGGTATTTTTAAACTAAAGTTCAGGAGACAAGGGGGAGAAACGTGAATGAGCATTCAGGTGCTTGTTCTATACAGGGAGACTGCTTTAAAATACAGTGGCCTGCTTGTCCTAGGCATCTGTTTGTGGGCAAAAAGAGGGAAGCATTTCCTTTATCAGAGTTAGATATGCTCCCAAGCACTGGGGACTGCTGGAGTGCCACTTACGCATCTCCCAGCACAGGGCACTTTCTAAAGACAACATAAGCTCATGGATTTCTGTCCACTCGCACTTAAATAGCTCCCTCTGATGGACATAGCTCACGATTGGCCTCAACCAGGCAAAAGAGGCCAGGTTTGGATACTGGGAGACACTGGCTAGAAGCTCTGGTGGACCATAGTCTGTGGTCAGAGAGGAGATTTATGTGGCCTGCTGATCTGATCCAACCTGTCAGTTCCCATCTTTCTAGCAGTTAAGCATCAGCTGCTGTCCCTAATATAAAAATCTCTTTTTTTCAGTACTTCTCTGTATATACTTCCCCTGTAACTCCCCTGTGCATATTGCAACGTTATCCATGATAATTCATCAAAGAAAAACAGTTCAAAATGGTGATTTTTGGGTTGGGCAGAACCAGGCTTGTAATGCCTTTAGCCAGGGACAGAAAATGTGTTTGGAAAGTTTTTCTCTGATATAACAAATATTTCCACTGAGCTGCAGAACCTCAGCACAGCCTCAGGGCCTGCTGACATCCTGCCTTTCCTCTCCACCCACCTCACACACAGCATTACACTTCCATTCACTCTGGACTTAAATGCCACTAGAGGACTCACAAGCCTGCCCTTGTGTACACACACTCAAACATCCCATCCCTGTCCTGTTCATCCAGGCACAGTGCACACACGCAGCCTGCCACACGCTCTCCCACCAACCCACACACATGCAAACCACTCCAAATGGAATCTAGATTTGTAAACTGCTGACCACATCCATAAACAAACTTGTTTAAAATTAGACTCTTGCAGTAAACAGTGGGTAGTATGAGGAGCCTGGGGAGAGGCTTTCTGCCAACTCTACCCCTGACCTGCCCTGGCCCTTCCTCTAGATCCCGTGTTATATTTACTTTGGAGCAGCACAGAGACAAGCTGGGATACAGCCTGGAGCCCTGACTAACTTGCTCCCTTTCCTCCTCTTGCAGTTCCATATAGTTTGTTCCTGACTTGGATGAGTTCTTAATCAGTGGCAAGAGATGGAGAAGGAAAGCATTTTAGACTTTGCGAACTAGTTTTGTGTTCAATTTTAGCTTTCATGCTCCACTGTTTTATCCATGTGCTAGCCTAGCCTCCGTTCCCTTGAGAAGAATCTTGTTCAACAGAGTGAGTGGCCTTTCATAACCATCCTGACAGAAGAAGCCAGCAACTTATATGGAAATGGATGTTTGTCCCTGCATAATATCTGATCTGAATATGCAGGGTGCCGTAGTGTTGTTCTTATTTCCTGTTGGTGCTATGTACAACACAGAGCAGGGAATGACAGGGATGACCCTGGAGGATGCTTTGCTGGTTATAGCCCTGAGTTTTAAGTCACTTTTTGTTTTTTCAGAGTTCCTGGAAAGTGTGGCTGCCATTTATCAAGATCTACTGGCTGGTAAAAATCCAAACACTGTGATTGTGCCAACGTCATCCTCTGGGCAACATCGGCAGCACCAGCCCCCAAATGACTGCAGCCCACTCGATGGGGTAGAGGCATCTCTCTTCTACCAGTGTCTAGAGTCTTTGTGTGACAGATCAAAATACAGGTACGAATGGAGTTCAAAACACAGATTTGAAGTCTGTGTCTCTGGAGACCCTTTGTAAGGTTGGAACTGTGAAGAAATACAGGACTTTGAACAAGCTGTAACTTCCAAATAGATCTCACTGGAGAAGGATGAAGGGAGAGAACATAGCCAAACCACTTTAACAAAAGAAGAGAAACAATTTCATGGATCTAAGAAACATGGGATTTGAGCTGATTCTTGAAGTAATGGATTGATTTGGGTCTCTGCTTTCCTTCTCACTTCTGCATTGACACTTCCATCAAGGAGACATCCATCTACCATCATGAGTTAACTAGAGGAGATAAACAAGTGCAGTTGTGTTCTTGGGTATTGAAGCATAGGAAAGGCCCACTGGGGTGGATGGAGTTTGAAGCCTTAGTACCTAGACAAGATCACACTGCTAGTCTGTACCCAAGCCTATGATGGAGCTGG